AAAAAAAATCACACTGGTCACAAATAAGTGACCACAAATTTCAAAAAGAAATTTTGATCATTACCATTTGTCAAGATTCCATTTCTGAGTGACAAGCCATTTCCTTAGCAGGCTGGTAAACACACCAGGTGTTGGGTGATAAGTTAAAATGAGTACATGTACTTTTTAAGAAACATGAAAATATACATGAAGAGATTAGTTCATGTCTTCATTCGTGTATTTATTATACATTTATTGAATGCCTAGTTTGTCTTAATATTTTGTTAGATCATGAGGATTCAGATATCAGGACTCTTTGGAAGATAAGATTGAGAAAATATAGCACAACTAAATCAGAGAACATTGGTGCTGATCATCGGTTCATTCAAAAATTTAGCAGATATTCATTGAGAGCTTACTATGTGTCAGGTCTTGAGAACTTGTTTGAGGGCTCAACAGGGGTGAAAGCTACTGACACACTCTTGACTAGAGTGGTCTTGTTTAGCTGGGATCATCCTATTTGACAGAGGAAATGGCAGGGACAGTTAAGGAGCAATGAAAGAGGGAAGGGACATCCTCTTTTCCACCTGCATCAGCCAGATCAACTCTGGTGAGCATGAGGGCAAAATGTTTTAGCCATACTGACCTCCCATCTTACCATGTGGCAGTCCTAGTGCTAGTCCCAGGAAGGCCAAGATGAATAAGACACAGACATTGCCCAGAAGAAATTCATGGTCCAAGCCGCGGTGGCTCATGCCTGTAATCCTAGCACTCTGGGAGGCGGAGGCGGGAGGATCGCTCGAGGTCAGGAATTCGAGACCAGCCTCAGCAAGAGCGAGACCCTGTCTCTCCTAAAAAATAGAAAGAAATTAATCGGACAACTAAAAATATATAGAAAAAATTAGCTGGGCATGGTGGTGCATGCCTGTAGTCTCATCTACTTGGGAGGCTTAGGCAGAAGGATTGCTTGAGCCCAGGAGTTTGAGGTTGCTGTGAGCTAGGATGCCATGGCACTCTAGCCTGGGAAACAGAGTGAGACTCTGTCTCAAAAAAAAAAAAAGAAATTCACAGTCCAGTGGGGAAGAGAAGCATAAACAACAAGTTACAGTCCAGTGAAATGTGTGCTACGGGAGTGGTGTGGACTTCAGTGGTGTAAAGGGAGAGATGGCCAGCTTGGCCTGTCGGGGTTTGTTATGGAGGGCTTCACAGGGCAGTGTGGTCCTTGAATTGGGTCTAGAAAATAGGTAGATAGATGGGGGCGGGGTGCATTCTAGTTTGAGGAAACAGCATAAGCAAACGTCCTAAGACGGGAAACAGTTCCGTGGTTACAGAATTGCAAGGCGTTCGGTGTGACTGAACTGCAAGAAGCTGGCTGGAGGCTGGATCAGCAGAGACAAATGGGTACCTGTCAAGAAGGTCCTTGAATAACATGCAAAGAAACGTGGATTTCAACCAGGATCCTAGCTTCGCAAACCAGGGGGCCTGAGAGTTCCTGAAGTCACAGGATAAACACATACTTTTCTGCAGGATCAATTTTGCTTGAGGACTTTGGGAAATGTGGTTTTTATTTCAAAACAAAAATGAATGTACTATAGAATACGATGAAAAATTGCTAAAAATAGGATTAAAAATGGTGACTTTAAAACAAACTTCATGCTGAGGGTGGAGCCTTCCAGAGCTTGCTCTTCTGATCCCTCCCGACCCCTCTTCTCCCTCCCACCCCACTGTCTCACTCTTCTTGCATTAGGAGTTCTGAAGTGGGGAAGGGTGGGATGTTCTGTTGAAGGAAGTGTAGATGTTTGACTTGCAAGGATAGATTCTGGATGATCCTGGCTGAGAAGATGGTTGTTACGGCTTTTGGGACAATTTGAAAGCTCTCATATAAGCTCTCTAGAGAAAAGATTATAATCTTAAATATAAAAGCAGTGAGGAGGAAGAAAAGGAAGAGAGGCAGGCATGGAGGCTGGCAATTTCTTTTCAAGCCCATCTGTGAAAAATACCTAAAAGAAATACTAAAGACAGAGTAAGTACATGTTTGAGGGGTGCTTCTATTAAAAAATTGCCCATCATTCAGCTTAAGTGAAGAGATGTCCCAAATTCTCCCCTCTGAGATTCCTTCCTTATGGCTAAAACACAGTATCCCAAGCACCTTGCTTTTAGATGACAACACATCTGACCGGGGCAATGAAGTTGGCCAGTTACCACCACAGATAAGTTAGTTTAACAGACCATCAGTTCTGTTTGCACTGGGGGTTCTGGACCCTTGTCACTGGGGAGATAGAGGTGTCTGGCAGGATGTTAAAAGGATAAAAACAAGGAAGTAAGACATCTACTACTTTGTAGTTGTGTCAAGATTTGACCATGAGCAGAAACTCCGGAGTGATTACAAGGATCTCACTGGTGACTAAGACTCAAAGAGGAGGTCAATAAACAGGATGGCTCTTGTCTTTCGTCTGCCTCCTGGGAGTGAGAGGAAAGGGCAGGAAAAGATGAGAGGAAAAGAGAGAGAGGGAAGACAAAAGAATGAAGAATGAGGCTACATAAAAAGTAGGAGGAGGAAAAAAATGTGAGAGGAAGGGAGGGAGGAAAGCAGGGCTTCTGGAGGAGTCTGTAGTCTCAGAGGTGGCAGAACTGGATTCAAGCAGAAAGAAAAAGCTGTTACGCTACTCACTTCCACCCTTTTGTACTCAAACCCCACTGTAGGAATCTAAATAATCACCATACTTAAGAACTCTAGCTTATATGGAACCTTTGTTCAAATTGGAAAAAAATGCCCTGTCTTGGCAGACACAGCACCTTGAGTAAATAACTTCACAATCAAATGGCACAGAAAAAGGTCTTTTTCCTCAGGCAGAGGCAGAGACAGGGATATTTGTCAGCTCTCACTTCCTTGCTGGGCACGCACTGTGCAAACTTACATGGCAGCCTTGCCCACAAGCTCGTCACACCAATATGACCATTGTTGCACTTTGGAGAAATAAATGTCTTAAGTTGCTGAGCATCTTAGTTGACATCTAAGATTCCAAATGTTGATGTCTGAGTTATCCTTCTACTGCTATTGGGTGGGGGGGTGCTTCCAGGGAAAATATTGCCCTGAATAGTTTTGTTTTGCTTTTTCCATTTATGGGGAAAGTAGAAGAGATGCCCAAAATCTAGAAAAGAACAGGAAGGCAAAACCAAAGGCTACACACGTGAATGACCGTGAAGCTGACTTGACGAAACTGGTTAGGGCCGCAAACATCCATAGGACCAGAGAGGTTTGCTTACTCTACAAAGAGTTTAACAATATCAAACCACCTGACATTAGTACAGCATTTTCACTTTCTCAGAGCTTTCTGTGCCTAATGTGTCAATGAGCCTCACTTAGCCCCTTGCACAATGCAAGTCAGGGCACGTGGCACCATCTTCATTTGACAATCGTGTAAACAGAGGTACCAAAAACTTTGTTTGCATAGGGACTAAGAATGCATAAAAACCTGGGCATCTCCAGTTTTGTGCTCCTTCTTTCAGATTCTAATTTCTTCCCAAAGATATGAAGTTTTTGCTTTACCTACAAAGAACCTATTTCTCCCTGGACACTGAATAGGAGAACTCCCTTGGTGATTTGCCCAGAAGAAGAAGTCATCATCTTAAAAGAAACAAAATCTGGACCATGAATTGTCCGCTGATATTTTGTCTGGAAGCTTGGACTTTAGCTTCACCCTTGCAGCTCCTCTTCCTTTACTCAACGCCTCCTTCAGACACTTTCTTTTTGAACTTAATTAGTACCTTGAAGCTACCCCAGCCCTTAGGAAGAGAAACACAAAGAGTTTTCTCTGTTCTCAAAACCCAGTAGGATGTCTATATTCTGCTATTCAAAACCGTGTAGCAAATGGAATTGTAAATATTAAATACTATTTTCACAAAGAAGTGAAGCCAGATCTGAGTTTCCCTGGAGCAAAGAGAAGTTAAATTATAGCATCAAACTTCAAAATGAGAGACATAAAAAGGAAATAACTGTTGGATTTTAAAATGAATTTCCCTTCTGAATTCCAAACGAGTAC